AAAAATTTAACAGTTTGTAGATTAAAATAATTTTGCAAATTGTAATTGTTTTTTATTTTGTTACCGTGATAATTACCAAGTATGACAGTAGTCGAGCCCATAAAATGTGGCGAGCACTCTGTCAAATTGATCACCAACAATAATTAAGAACGTTAGGCAACAGCCAAAGCTGTAAACCGCTACGCAAATTCCACAGAAAATAAGTGATTTAGATCCGCACAGGCTAGCGAATGCATCTTGCATGGTATTGGTACCTGTACTGTCGCTGCAACTGGCCAGTATCACTAAAGCAGCTGTGATAAATATAAGAAAACTAAGCTGTGCCACAATGGAAGTTCCTACTCCACCTGCTTTGTCAAAGGCCTGAGGAAAATTTAATAGTCCAGCTCCTAGTGTGGCATTCACAATTAAAAAAATTGTTCCCAAGATACTGGCACCTGAAATATGAAGTACATAACACATGCTTTATCTTATTCTTTAAATCTATTTTACTGACTTGCTTTACGATTACGATTATGTAGTCACTTTCGATAATATTTACGAAAACAGTCCATAATAAAATAACCTCTTATGTTACGTATTATAAAACCAAACACGTGCTATATATTATAATTTTAATAATATAAAACTATTCATCATATACACATATGCACATACCTTTTTGAGTTTCATTGTTACGTGTGGCTGAAGGACTTGGTGCAGTTGACAGAAACAAATCATTACCTATCAGCTGTTCAAAAACAGGCGTCAAATAATCCATGTTGCACACAATCGCAGATGGAACTGTACGTATGACGCTTTGCTGTTGTCCCTCGTGGTAAGTTTTTTTCTTTTCCGGAGGTCAAAGTCTCTTATCTGTTAACGTTTCATAAGACAAAGAATTCAGAATACATTGAAAGAAAATACGAACTCTGCACAAAAGTCCAGTATTACCTTGCACTTGACAAGACATTATTTTCCAAGCCTTGATATTGCTTATTTGCGTTGTTAAAACGTCAAATCTATTTCGCGACGCAATTTGATAAATCGTTTTATTGTTGTCTCAAAATTTTTAAAGATCCATGAAGGCTCGATTATACATTATGATTTAAATTTTTTAAATTATAATAGTATTAAATTTATAAATTTATTTTTTATTATTGGTACATCTAGATCATTAATACAAATTCTTGTTTTATTTCGTAACAAAAAATAAAGAAAATAGACCGCGTATGATTCAAATCTCGCAAATAAGATATTGTTACAACCGGTAGTTTTGAGTGCAATTAACTATTTTACAATATTTTTTCGTTTGTGAAAAATATAAAATTATAACAAGAAAAATAAATAAAATACATACTTATAACATAAAATGTCTGTAAGACACTTTTGTTATTATTAGAGTTTCGAGATTTCAATAGCATTTTCGGTTGTAAAAGTAGTTGCGATTAGATATACATATTTTGAAAAGTTACGTATTCTAATAGATTGTTGTGAAGCATTTTGCGAAACAAGTTAAAAAGGTAAAATGATATCTATCACGTGAGTACTTCCATGTGTTAATGTGTAATTACAAGAAGTTTTATGTAATTCCATTCTTTTGATTATTTTTCATTTCCATTTATGTATATTTTATCTTTTAAAGTAGAACACTATTATCAATAGAGCACTATTATCAATATTATTCTCATCAATAAAATGATAATTACTTGGGCTTCTTTAATTTAAAACGGCGATTAATCGCCACATTTTAGTGTACGAGAAGATGGCTAAACCAACATCAACAGTAGATCCGAAAGAAGTTGAACATTATTCTAATTTAAAGAACGATTGGTGGAATAAGAACGGCGTGGAGCTTGTCTCCATGTATTAATTCCGTTTCGAACGGAGTTTGTAAGAAATAGTTTGGCTAATACTGGATACAAAATGCAGAATCCAACTCTCCGTTGGAAGGAATCAAGATTGTGGATATTGCTTGTGGCGAAAGTATATTATCCGAAGCTCTGGCTAAAATAGAAGCGCAAGTAATCGGAATATATGCATCAACAGAATTGATAGACGTCGCAAAGAGCATATAAAATTGAATCCTGATATATCGAAAAGAGTGAATTACATTCATACAAGTATAGAAGAGTTTTCCTAAACCAATGAAGAATCGTATGATGCTGTTGTAGCTTCCGACGTCTTAGAGCATGTAACAGATCTGAAATTATTTTTGAAGGTACAACACTATATCATAAAAGTGTTATAAGAATTAAGAAATATCAACGCAATAATGTTTTGAATAAATATTTTGTAGGAATGTGTAAAAATTCTGAAACTAGGCGGATCAATTTTTATAACAACGTTAAATAAAACTTTATCATCATGGCTCATTGCTATTATAGCGGCGGAATACATCACTAAACTTATACAATGTGGCACTCATGAGTGGAATAAACTCATTACTCCACATGATGTACAACATATAAAACAATTGTAAGTTTATTATATATCAATTTTATGAAAATTATTAAAAGAAGTATTTTGCGTAAAAATCATGCCTACGATTCTAAAAAGTACATAACTTGCATATATTTTTCTTTTTTTATAGATGATTGCCAAACGAAATTAATTCGTGGAATAAAAGATCTTCCATTTAGAGGCCAACGGTCTTGAACGTCATCTACAGCAGTTTGTTATGCACTTCACGCAGCAAAACAAAAGGAGACTGACACAATTGGTATCTCCAAGGAAAATTAGCATATTAAAATTGCAGTGATTTTTGTATGTATCGTTTGCTGTAATTATTATTGCTAATCAGCAATTTTATTATGTGCTATATACTTCTTTATACACACAAAGCAGTAATCAAACTTTGATATAATATTTAAATAAAGTTGAGGAATCAATTCACAGAGTATATAAAATCAGCATATGGTATGAAAAGAATAACATATCTTTATTTTAACAGACTTAACGACAATCACATATTATATCTCTTGTAACAATACGGTACATTATGCTAACAAAATATACAAAATCATTAAAACAACATAGCACATGCTTTCGTGCTAAGTTTTTAAAAATATTACATTGTATATATGTTTAATAATGTACCGCATGGATACTCACAAGTTAAAATTACAAGCATAAAGCTCGCTGTTGAAAAAAATTTGACCTAATTGTCTGCAAAGTTGGTATTTAAATCCTAACGTTTAGTAGTAACTTCAAAAGAAAGCAATCAACGTTTATTTTGCCGGAGCAAATCCTACTCGGTCGTTTCCCATATCAAATTCGGTATAATAACGACCGATAAATACATCACCCAGAATCCATAGCGGTTCAGGCATATCCAGTGCCATGAAGCCACTCATACAAATCGTCGTGCCCATCTCTTTGATCTGTGAGGAATAAAATGTCGGATAAGATTTCTATTATAAAATGATTTAAACTAAGCTATGATCTAGGATACTCACCTGAAGAACGTAATCTTCACCTTTAAGAGAGAAGTTCTTACCACTCAGAACAAAATTAATCAGAGGCAATTCAGAAATCAGACTGCAGTTGACCTTTAAATAAAAAATATCAAATTAGCAATTTTTAATTTATCGAACATTAATTTATTTTTTAATTTAATAATTTTTATAACAAGCTATATATATTATTGTAAAAAAATACAATAATTTACTTACTATTGCCTCTCCAGAGATGGAAGTAGCTCCGATCATTTTGTTGATGATTTCAATTTCATTAGTTGGACCAGTTATCAAAGAAGTGCCCGTATCAGCGATAGCTTGGCAGCCTGACGCGCAAGCGACCGTAACAGGATGCCCGTCGGCCTGCGCCATTTGCCCTGTAGTTTGATTATCCACTTGTACCCTACAACGTGATAATGTTGACATTTGATCGGTATAATTTAAAAAATAACTACATACTTGTCCATGGAAAATTGCCAGTATCCTTTGCGAGTAACGGGAACGTATGTGAGCTCGCCTTCATAATGATTGGGATCGGAACCGCCCAATATCATTTCTCCACCCACTTCAGCTGATGGGTCTCTGCATGAAATGTATATTTTATTATATTATAATATAGAAAAATAATACAATTAAATATAACATTTGATTAAAAGAACACTTTTAGGAACGCAGTGTATAAAACCAAAAAAAAATATGTACCGATTCAGATAAAAGCTGAAAACAGGTTGTGACACCAGCCCTTGTTTAACCATGTTGTAGAAGACAGGAGTCACTCCATCGATAGATATCGTGGAATAACCCATTCCCAGGATACCATCAAATTTCGCAGCAACAAAGGCCAAGCCTGGTTCACTGATCGCTTCTGCGAATGTTTGATCCTGAACATTAATGCTAGCAACCTGCAAGAATATTAATACGTTAATAAAATATAATACATATAAATTTTCTGAGAACAATAATATGAATATTTTATAAAACATTTACAAACATCTATTAATAGACTATAATGACTTATTAAATTACTCATTTGATGATGACTTACATTGACTATATCAGTTGACAAAAAGCCAGACAAACTGCCAGTGCCGTATTGAATAGCAAACTTAGTGCCGTTTTTTTTGTATGTACTAGATTTCTCGCTGTTATATTTATTATGTAGCACTGTAAAGAATAAAATTAAGTCAGTATTAAGGATTTTAGAAATAGAAATGTTCTTATCAATTTAAATTTAAATATATACATCATAATCAATATTTATTTAAATTATCAAACATATTTTAGATGAATTTGTCATTTTTCCATATGTTATCTTAATATGTCAAAGGTTGTTTATATCTTGGGAATAAGTATGATAAATTGTGTGAATAAGTCTATATGCAATAGAAAAAGCTCAGCTTTATAATATTTACATTATTGGTGATTTTAATTCTTAAAATTGTGTCTATTCAACTTTGTTAAAGATTTTAAGATTTTATTTTAAACGTGAAAAAACAAAACTCTAATATTAATTATTCTTACTTTTTTATTTATTATTTTACTTGGCAACTAATTTATAATTAATATTATTAACAAAATATGATAATACATATATGAATAATGCTAAATATCAGATAGATAATACTGAAATACTTACAGCAAGCAATGTTGGTAAAGTGACACTTCTTGGATGGCACCCAGAGATTTGAGGAACCAGTATCAAAAATTACTTTGAATTTTTGTGGAGGAGTTCCAATGGTGATTTCACCATAGTACTGAGCATCCAGATAATTAGACAAAGGTTCTGGCACAGATCTATTATCGTCATACAAACGAACTTGTCGCAATTCTGTACCAACTTGTTTTAGAGTTTTTCGAATAGACTCCGTCTTGTGCAATGGAATTCTTGAAGCAACATAAACAACATTTCATTACATTATACGTATATATAGATCTGTGCATCTTTAATGAGATGATAGTAATATCTTTAATTGGGTGGCAACAGTCTTTCCAAGAAAAGTATGAGTCATGAGAGGGCTATTTATATCTGTATTAGCACAACCTTTGTTTTAGAAAAAGTACTCTCATATATTTAGACACAAATATCAAAAAGTCCATGTATTTAAGTTTAATTATATTAAAAAATTAATTAATTAGAGTCAATAATTTTTTCTCAATTATAATGTACTGTTAAAAGAATATATATAGGATATGCATATATAGAATCAAAAGAATAAAAAGTAATTCACTGTTATCTATAAATTTGTCTGCATATAGCAAGCAGCATACAATTTAGTTATTCTAAATGTAAATCATGAAGCTCATAAAGTTAATCTTGTTTATAAACTCAGAATACAAGGCTTCCCAACAGATTTGTTAAAATTCAAATAACAGAAAAGTAACTTCCGTTAGATTGAAATAAAAGGTCAGAAACAGCTTGAAGAAAATATGATAAAAAAATAAACATGGAGAATTTCAAAGATTCATTGTGTTCAACGATTATGATATAACAAAGTAAAAAAAAGTTAATGTTCGAGGAATGTTTCTCGAAGAATCTTTTTCAAAAATCTGTTTCTTTACTAATAAACAAAATTACATTATCTCAAAAATTGTGTTCAATTATTATCGAAATATTAATCATTTACGCAGTTTGTCATTCCAAGAAGCCGGAAACGGTCACGAGAATATAATCTCTCGGTGTTTATCACAGGACGAACAATGCTTACCTCTGAAACCCGTGTGCATCGGTCAACACGCAGAGGGCTGCGATCGCCACGAAAAGACGAAACATATTTCCAAAAGTACCAGCGACTTCAAATTGCGATACAACTTTATGTATCAAATTTCTGTCTATACCTGCAACCAGACAACGTACAAACGTATGATAGTTGATTACTAGCGCTCTCGCTAACACTGTTTATCGACGTATGGCGGCGCTATATATACGGATGCATGCGCCTGCGTATAGTGGAAGGGTGAAAAGGCGGCTTTACAAAGCGTTCGAAGAAAAGTGCTGATAGAAGAACGCTTTCTTCATTAATCAAATCTAAAAATATCATACTTTGCATATGTATGTTTTTTTTAATTAGTATAAAACATTAACATGCTTGCTTAAATAAGATTAATGATTAATGAGAAATAAACATGTACGCTTTCAAAAGAACATTGTTTGTACTGGCGGAAAAGATGCATGCAACAATGCACTTTGTAAATGATTTTGCTGAGCTTGAACAACGTATTCTGATTGGTGACAAGCCATATCACTTGCATTCGAAAGTTAGTATCGCGTCATTCAAGGTTAAGGTGTTGCAATTATGCAAAAATTTATATTAGTAACATGCAAAAATTTACGTACAACAATGAACAGAAAATTTGAAGTTTTTGCTTATTAAACTTACATGCGCGGTTAAATTTTAATCAGGCTAATAAAAGCAGAATGTGGTACTAATGTGATTATGTTAGTTTTATTTATTAATTATTTATTTAACTGTAATTACTAGATTTAGGATAATTGGAAATGTATGCTTCTATATAATTTATTGCAAGACAATACTAACCTCTGAATCGGTCAATACAGAATGATTGCGTATTATAAAATATATATTTGATTGTTTTATACTAAATATTATGAGAATAAATTTATAAAATTATTATTTTTTATCAAATATCTTACAATAAGGATTATAAAATGATTAGAAAAAAACTTATCTACAATAATCATATACTATATATTTGCAATTAAAGTATTAGTTGTAATGTTTCAATAAAATTTATTTATACAAATAAATATTATTTCTATATAAATAATTTTTTATGTAAATAAATGTAAATTTAATTGTAATTAATTGTAAATAATATGTTATAATTATTATAAACAAAACTATGTTATAATAATTCTAGTTTTTGTTGTAAACACTAACAAAAAGTCAAACTGATAGTTTTCTAATTTTACTTCTACGTATTCTTACAAAAGTACATTTAACGCTATGTAAAATATATATTCATAGAATTTTACTATGCTATCTGTGCTTGTATCTTAGAAAAAGAACGAAAAACGGGAAAATATAGAGTATGTAAATTCAAAGAAAAAAATCATGTATTGTAGTTCATAATTTTTTTAAATAATTTTAAATAGTTTCAGTGTTTTAATAAAATATCATTTATTATGTTCTACTTTTAAAGTATTATAATAATTAATAAATATTATTTCTATTACTTTTTAAGTCATTTATTTTGTTCTTCGGAAAAATTTTAAATCTTTTTCTGAATTATTCTAAGATTACGATTTTATTTTCATAACATTAAAAAATTTTGTTTTTATTTATAATAAAATAATGTTTGCTCACACACACATACACACACACACTTTTAAAGAAGAAATAAAACAAGTATAAAATGTGTAGCTCAAAAAAACATATTTAATAATAATCAATCTTAAATTTAATAAGAGATACAATATAAAAAAATTGTTTTTATTCAATATTTCAAGAAACATCTTTTAAATAAAACAGTCGAATTTTCATCATTTATTTGTTTTTTCGCGCGTTATTTCACGCATTGCATGCCGGGTCGATAGAAGATCCTGATAGAAGACCCTGCCAGTCAGCCAATCACGGACCAGCATCGCGCGGCGACTGGCCGCACTCTCAGTCCCGAGCTCGATTCGTGGAGTTATCGTTCCTCTCTCTTGGCCCCTAGAGCCAGCGAGCCCAAAATTTCCCGAGTGTGTGAAGCAACGGCAGCGTCGAGCGGCATCAGCAGGAAGCGACAATCGTCGTCCGTTTGTTATATCGTGTTTTTCAGCGTTTCTGTCGTGTCTATTCGCGACACGCACGTCGAATCTCAAGCGCGCGCGCTTAAATAAACGCGTTCGCCGACTCACGAACGGCCACTCATACGGACACCGGAGAGGAGGGCGAGCCCGAGTATAGTGTGATCCATTAAAGACGGTGTCAACGAAAAAAGGTACGATAAATGAAAAGAATGATGCGCGAGAGAGCATCGCTAATGCGGCGGCGAAGCACAGAGAGATACGTTTGTCTCTATCCGGAGCAGCCGCCGAAATCGGAGATCCTCGCCGGATCTATCCGGTCGCGCGCGCGTTTCTGGTCTTACGTCAAATGCACGTTTAAGATGCTCTGTCGGAAAGACGAAACGGTGCTCGTCGTCGGCGTCGTCGGCGTCTCGATGAGCGGCGTCGTCGCGACCCACTTTTGTAGGCTGTACATTTCGCGTGCCGGCCGAATTGCCATTTCTTTATTGTCTCATATCGACAAAACACTTGGTCCTCCCGCGCCTTTCGCCCCCGTGCGTTCATTCCGTCTCTCCCTCTTTCCCTCTCTCATACTCTTGTTCTTCGAATGCTTTTGGTCTATCTTTGTTTCATTCTCTCTTCTTCTCGAACTTTCTATGTGTCTTCCTCCCTCTTACTCTTTCCCATTCTCTATTTTGTGCATCGCACCGATATTCGCGCGATAATTCTATCTCTTTCTCTCGCACTCTGTCTCTCTTTCTCCTTCTTTTACTCAGAGCAAGCGTTACCCGCACTTAACTTGCCGCCGTATTGTCATGCCGGTGCTGGACGTATACGCTACTGTCAAAGTCGTGTGCTTCCCGCGGTCCAGGTTTATTTCTTCCATTTCTCGATAGCATGCGCGTGGAATCATCGAACAGCCGTTAATTCGCGCGTTTTATCTTTATGGCATTTACCTTGAGTTCAAAACACCGATAATGTCATTTATAAATAAGTTACTTATTTTGAAAGTCATATGAATCTAGGTGTAAAAATGGCAGACTATATTGTGTCACAATTACAATTTATTGAAATTTATATTTTATAACTATGCTTTGAAAATGTTTATGTTAATATTTTCTTGACACATGTACATAATTTTATAAATATATTTTTTAATTGTTGTTTTGCTAAGGAATAATAAAATATTTCTTGTATGATATGTGCATTGAAATGTGTTTCACTGAATGATAATGGTGCATCATGTGACATTTTACTGTCTTTGTATTGTAGAAAAGACAAAATGTCAGACAGAAAGGCAGTAATCAAGAATGCTGATATGTCAGAGGAGATGCAGCAAGATGCTGTTGATTGCGCTACCCAAGCTCTTGAAAAATATAACATAGAAAAGGTATGTAATCACCTTGCTTTATTTGGTATGACTGTGCTAGATAACACATTCTGAATATATTATGCAAGCCTGTTATACAAAAATGAAACATCTACGACATGTTCAAATACATACAAATGCTGCTCGACTTATGAACGAGATACGTTTTAGACCGCCGTTCGTAAGTTGGAGATCATAAACCATATCAAATTAAATATATGTTTAGTGAATCACTGATCTAAGTTTGATGTCCAGTAGAGTGCAGAAAAAGAGAATATTTTGAAAGACTTGTTAGTGACTATAATCACTATAAATGCTTGAGATTGTATTGATAGCGTACAAATCAATAAAAAATTAGAAACTGTTAAATATATATTTGTGTGTGTATGCGTGCAGATTGCATGTTGAAAGTGCAAGTTTGAATTTTGTAACTTAAACATAATGCCTCTATAAATATATTTAATAATAGATTTAAACCTTTTTTTTATTATAATTTATTCAATAAGTATTTTAATAAATAATTCATACAAATAATTCTATTAGACACTGGAAGTTAATTTACTATAAAATTTGACTTAAATTGTACAACAAAATACATTTTGGTTAAAAATAAGGTTGTACACAAAGAGTTTATAATTTAAAGAAATTAAGTTTTGGAATTAATTTATATGGAATTTGTTTTTTTGTTATACAGTTTAGTAGTGCGCAAAGAAATACAGATTTATTTAAAAAATAAGACTTAAATATTGCTATTGACGTTGAGTTTTCGGAAACCTGTTTTGTTTTCTATAAACGGCTTTCGTTATTATATATAAATTGTCAAGTTGTATTTGTTGTCAAGTTGAAATTGTTAGATCAATATCATCATTGATTTTACCATTAATACCCATTGGTATTGGCTTTCAGGATATTGCGGCATATATCAAGAAAGAGTTCGATAAGAAGTACAACCCGACGTGGCATTGCATTGTAGGACGTAATTTCGGTAGCTACGTGACGCACGAAACAAGACATTTTATCTATTTCTACCTTGGCCAAGTAGCCATTCTTCTCTTTAAGAGCGGATAAGCTCGTTTCTCTTCTCCTAAACTCCATCCTTCCTTTTTCCTTCCTCCTTCTCCCTCCCTTGCTCACTATGCAAAATACAGACATTTAAAATCACCACCACCATGTGTAAAAGGAACTTCATTATGTATATGTATACATTAAAAAATTTATTTTAAAAAACAACGCATGCGCTCGATAAGCAAGTAAACAGAAATATCAACTTGATATATTGTTCGTCGTTATAAAAGTGGGAGATTAATGCGGAGAAAAATTTTAGGGAAACACTGAAGGGTAGGGAGATAAACTGGAAAAAAATGACATACAACCTTACATGTTAAAATGTATTTTGTATGCCAACAAGTTTGTTGTGTTCTTGTTTTATATTATTAGGTGAATATGCAAAATATGGTTGAGTTCAATACTGGCGATTTTAAATTAGCAAATTTTAGCATAATTGTTTAATATATAGTGTTCAAGTAACACTGTAAGTGCACTACCATATAATTAGGTGGGCTCGCGCGAAGCGTACCCTGCTTGATTCTACCTAAAGATGGAATACGTGATATTCATAGCTAATCGCCAATAATGAATATAAGCCCAAATGAGAATTATTACTCCCGCAATTGTTATTTTATTTTAATTGGAAATCGTTGTCTCTTATGTGCTACTACATTTTGATTAATCCGATCTTGTACTTGCTCCAGCGATTGACATTTTTTTGTTTAGATTAAGAACTGTCAAAATAATTGAACAAAAAAAAAAAAAAACTGAGCTCAATCATTGTCTCGACGTACGATATCGTCATCGTGCACACAATACTCTATTAATAACAACTTTATTTCGATTGATATAAAACTAACATGCTACTGAATAACGATATCTGACTCATTCATTGCTACCTTCACGATTTTTATATTGTGCACAGATTATAACGTAAAAAGAAAAAAGAAAAAAAAAGAACATTTTATCTTGAGGCGATGTATAACTTAGGGGAGTATTTATTTCCAGAGAAGAGATATCACTTTTTGCCCATATTAAATTCTATCTTTTATGTAATATTCAACACTCCATATGGTACTTATATA